AGCAGAAATTCACAACTTCCCAAATGTACTTCGTTTTGCTCAACTACTAAGGAGGCTGCTGCTGCCAAGAGTGAATATCTGTTTTCATGCTCTCACCACAGTCAGTTGGGTATTCAAAAAATTGAACATTCCGGAAACCGAGAATTGTCTGTTCTTTAGACTGCCCTTCTTTGTAAGTAAATATTAAAGAAAGAGGAAGGCTGGAGGCCTTCAAAAACAGGTGATTTGGATGTGCGATTTCTCAACGACTTTGTGAAATAACGTGCTTTATTCCAGTATACATACCCTCCCCTTCAAAAAGCGAGAAAGTGTCGGGTGCAGACCATACACCACAAGTGACGACGGCCTCCACAAAATGTAAATGTTTTTTGCCAATGAAATGATTAGCCTGTTGCAGTTGTATTCTATCAGTTGTCACTAATTACAACTATCATTTACCAAAAATCAGCTATCACTATGAACCACTACTAACCAGATTTACTTGGAGGCCGTCGTCAGTTGTGGTGTTTGGTCTGCACCCGACACTTTCTCGCTTTTTGAAGGGGAGGGTAGAACCGCAGAGTGAGTGTCGGATTCGATCCTGTGAGGGATTAAGTGCCTACAAACGTTTGTGGTAGCTGCTGTCAATTCTTTCCCGAGCGGTACCAATATTACCACAAACAGAAAAAATTAGTAATGAACGAAAATTAAAAAGCCCTATCTGGTGATTTAGATTTATCTTCCTCGCTTCTTTGATGTACTGAATAACAAATGGAACGCACAATGGCCAGCCCTTTTGAGGAGGCACCTATTCACCCTCCACTCACAGTAACCGTTCCACCTCATAGTTCGAAAGTCTCAGTTCTTCTCATACGATGGAAATTTTGTTCCTCTACTTCTAACTCGCGATGAGGCTTTCGGAAACTTACACCAGGGGATTCAGGTGAATATCAATGATCACTGGACCAAACTGATCTAACAATGAGTAAACAATCAGTCAACTTTCTTAAAGGGTCTCTTAACACATGAAGACAGTGCGACAACCATGTATGCCAAAATTCTGACATACATCGAGCATTGTGGCAACTATGCATGCCGCATCCATTACATTTACATTACATTTAGTTTTTCGCACGTGCAGATTTCTTATCAACTTTTGGCGTTTATCCTACAGGCCATACATCAACATAACCAAAACCACATGGCTTACAGAATGGCCAAATATTCTTTAGTTTGGCAGAGGTTTTCCAGACCTTACGAAAATGTCTGTTCAGTTCATTCCTCGTTTTCTTTTCATTAACGTAACATGTAGATAAAAAGAATAACAGAAGTGATACAAACCTATTCGCGGGCAACATATATGTTTTACTGGAACAATCACGTAAAAAGACTTTCGGAATCTCTGATGCAAGCAAGTAAAGTTGGCTTTCCAATAGCCATAACATTGCTCGAACTTCCACTACTGTAACTCCCGATAAGTCGAAAACATTGAATATCAGCGGAAACGTTCTGTTCCATACAAATTTTGTGTATTTACGGCTCAACATCCATGGGTGTGCGGGTGATGTGACGGCACCAGTAAAATCGGGCCAGTCCCACGGCCAAAATGTCAAAACGCGTGATGTCGCGAAGGTATTAATGAAGGCCGATCAGTGTAAACCAGTCAAATTTTCAGCTAGAGCACAGCAAAAGCATGATTCTTTTGACTTAGAAGGACATTTTCATAATTATACCTACTCCAAAATGGAAAGCTTACGCGATTAAACATACAGAGGAAAAGAAAAGAAGCAATTTGAATTAGGGGAAATAAAGGCATTTGAGGAATGAATGGCAAAAATATAATATTTATCTCAATATCTCCAATAATATCTAACAAATTTAACAACTCCTACAAGGTTATATGCTGAACAAAAGAAAAAAAAAGAAAAAAGAATTGTGAGTAATACATCAAGTCGTTGAACACATAATTTATTTTAAGGGACTCATCTATGCATGGCCCAGAAAAGGGCATTACGGCAAAAGAAGGCATCTAAAAAAGTAGAATGGATTTTACAAAAAAAAAAAAAACAACTATTTGAGTGTGGAAGGAAGCAAAACCTTACCATAATCTAACACCGAAGTCCTTGTGCAACTGACATGAAAATTCCAAATGAACCGCCTGATTGTGCCACAATTTTTCCGGTCTAAATGACTGATTCAACACTACAGAAATAAATATATAAAGATGTAACACTAAAAATGGTATTGTTGGTATTGTGACGCAAGACATATAGTGTAAAAGGGCGCGCGGCCTAAGTGGTTAGCCTCTCAACCACATACGCTCGCGCTTCTTATTCGCTTCGGGACATGTGAGCGCCTGTGGGACGATGACCGCAGAGCTGGGCAACCAGCCGGCCTATCACGTCCCTTCTCAAACACTATTCTCGAAGACCACACAAAGTACACCGCACGAGCAAATCTTCTAGTTAGCTAGTGTTTCGCAATCTTGCCACTCTGGTCACGGTAGTTCAGTTCCCACTATAATGGTTATTATCACGTCATCTTGTTTTATCTGATTATTGTATGATGGGAATAATAAATATGGGATGCAACATATTAAACTTCTACATAAAGGGAAGTTTAAACAATTGTGAACGCAGAGTGCGTAGCTTTCGATTACCAGTGCAGATTTACGTGACAAAATGCATCCAAAAATGCTGAAGTCTACCATTTGATTTCAGAGATTTTGCACAGGAATCGTTCACGTTTCTTTGAAGGAATTTTTAATGAGCGGTGGTATTTCTGGATCTCGCAAAACCCAGTCGATTTAAATCAATAAATATGTTATGCTAGCTTTTTCTGCTTTTTTGAAGTGGGTGCGAAAAAAAAACAGCTCCGTGATGAGAATAACTGATTCCTATGACAAAAGGGTCCACTTGTAGGTGCGAAGCGGGAGGAAAACGAGATTTCACAAAAATTCACTAGGTTAAGCGGCTGCTTCTGGGACAAAGAGAGTCTTCTAATGTAGGAGCAATAATGGAATGTTAAGAGTGAAATCAGATTTTGCGAAGTCGTTTTTACAGTCAAACTACTTCAAAAACGGGCTAGCCATAAGTTTATGGTGTCACACAGACTCAAACAACCCCTCTATTCTTGACTTTGTTTCAGCGTTTCGCCCTTTTTGAGAGCTCCCACAAAAAACTCCCTCACTAGGACTACGCTCAAATACGTGTCAGACTTCGCTATTGCAAATTGCGAAGTCCGACACCACCTCAACTTATAAAAATCGAGCTCCTCTTCGTCTTCACTTGAGAACAATGAAATCTATTCGCTTTGGCTTTCATAGAAGGTTGTCAAGTTAAAAAGAAAAAGAGCTCATTATGCCCTTCTGCAGTTTTTGCTTCTGTGACAATCATACATTCTCTTTGCTCTGCGGTTACGAGACAGTGCACATAAGTGAAGCTATATGAAAGACAAATAACACCAAAAAGGGCATATTGACAAAAAATGCAAACCTGAATTAGCATTTCTTTCCCTCTCAATCCCATTCGGAATGCAGAAAATCCTCCAATGAGCACGCCAGTAGCGCCGCCAATCATGCAACCCATCATAAAGCCCAAGCGTATCTGAACATATTACCTTTAATACCAGTACTATTGAGGAAGGCCGGCTAACATCTTCCTGATGTCCGACTTCAACTCTCCACCACCATCTAAAATGTGGTGAAAGAAAAGTAACACTTAGTTATGTTAGTCAACCAAGTGGGAGAATGCTCCCACTTGGTGGGAGCATTCTCCCACTTAGTTAAGAAAGTTCTCCATGTGTGAAACCGAGCTTCTCGTAGATGACCTCCGGGATCTGCTGCTGGGTAGGTCAGTGCCACTTCTGACAACTCAATCAACAACGCGTGTTTACGTCCACGTGATTGCCTGATGTGCAAACGGCAATTTCCACACGTCAAATTTGTACAATGCTGGGGGTCACATTTAACTAATATCCACACATTTCCGAAAAATCTTGTGGTTCTACAATTTATCTGGCCCACGGATTGTGGAACTCGGATCCTGCTCGACTTTCCATTTCGTACAAGCTTGTGATATAT